GCCCAGAACCCACGTGTAGGCCGCTGCTCAGGGGGCTGCTTGGTTTAGGTCTCCAGTTGAGCTCTGTTTGTCACGTGGGGGTTTGGGATGCTGGGTGGCATTACTTGGGCTGAGTGGTGCGGGGTCGGAGACCCTGCTGCTGCCACCAAAACTGGCTCGGTTGCCATTTGGTAGCTCCCAAGTGCTGCTTGTGCTCATGAACCAGGGAAGAAATGTCAGGGATCGAGCTGAGGCGAGGCTCAAACAGAGCAAATCTCTGAGGGGGTTTGGGGCCACAGCTCTGCTGGACCTCTATGAGACGTGGAGAGCCAGGAGGGATGCTGGGGATGGGCAATGTGCAGGACCACCGAGCCCAGGGCAGCACTGGGATGCTTTGCATGATGATTAGTGCTCAGGAGCCTTGTTTCAGTGCTGCCTGCCAGCGCTGGCATCGCCTTCCTCTCGGCATTACAACACCAACCACCATCAACTGGCTGGGCATGGCTGCTTTTATTTATTTTTTTTTTAAAACCCTGACAGCCTTCAGATCATCTTGGGGGGAGCTGCACACAAAAAGCCCTAACCCTCACACAACATATAATTGTCTGATCCTTTGATGTTCATGATTCCTGGAATAAACATGCTGACTTCAGTAGAGATATTCAAGTAAAATCTTACTCAGAGGTTTTTCTGCCAAGTATAATAACCCAAGGGAAGAGGGATAAGAATCATTCCATAAGCAAAACTCTCGCTGCTTGACCTCAGTGTGTGCACATCATAATTCAGGTTCTGGAAAAACAGAGCGTTTAGCTATTTTCCTTGGCAAATTTCAAAAAAATGTGCTGCAGCTAATTTCTGCAAGGCTGTGAAAGCATTTCTAAAATAGGCATCAGGTTCAAACCACAAGATCAACCTGAACTGATATAAATCAATAAGTAACTGAGGAATATGTTTATTTTGGAAAGCATTAGGCTTGGATATCACCTACTGCTTTAATGGATTTACCCGATGCTTAAGATCTCATCTTCGAAACTGAAGAAAGAGAAGGTGTTTGTAAGGGAATTGCGTGCACGAGCCCTGAAAAGGGGAAGTTAACACAACTTTAGCAGATCCCTTCACGAGGATGCCCTTTTCTGATGCAAGCCCTTTGATATGGAGGGGTTGCAGCACGGCTTGGACGCTTTCCCCAGAGAGCAAATGCGTATGCTCTGGCGATGACACGGGTCTGTAAATGCATTCCTCATGGAGCGCTGCTGTGTGGGTCTTCCCATCCCTGCTTGAGAGGAGACGGACCTCCAGGGCCAGGCTCAGCAGGTGCAGGGGCGTAAAGGACTCTGTGCTCAACCCTACCCTGCATCTTCCCATGGTGTCCACTGGGCACCTTGCATGGCTTTAGGAAACAATGACTCTGCGTGTTTGCTAGGGTGGTCTCCGAGCTCTGATGGAGTCCCCTGCAACCCTGGTGCTAGGGCAGTGCCACCCAACAGCCCAGCTCTGAAAGCAGGGCTTCAGAAATTAAAAAATGGGGGGAAAAAACTGCCTGCTTCAGATGCTGGAGAAGTGCTCTTCTGTATTAGATATTTCCCTGCTCAGCAGTTGTCCATACAATTGAAGGTGACCGTAAGTTAATACTTAAAATGCAAATGGTCCCTTAAAGCAGAACAAAAGGATGTAAACAATGGGGTCTCTGAGTGGGGGGCTTGCCAAGCTGGCCCCACAAACCAGATCCAAGAGGGGCTAACTGTTGAAGGCCTGCAGAGCGCTGGCTGAGTTCCAGCTGCAGGAGCAGGCTGCTTGAGGAGCCTTCGCTGCAGGCGATGTGTCCAATGGCCCGGTTGTCATCTCCGTGTGAAGCTACATCTCCCTGCCTCGGCTTTGGGGTTTGGTTATCTCTCCCTAGAAGCACGTGTACCTGTTATGATTGGCTCGGGAAGCGGCAAAGAACTGCCAAATTTAGCATCATTTGCCTTCATTAAAAGTGGCTTGTTTGTTCTGAGAATTTGCATTTTATGTGAATTTTTCTTTCCCTTGTGTTGGGGGAGAAGCTATGCTGCCCACTTGCAGGTTATGCTTAGGCTCATTGTCAGCATCCTGTTGCTCTGTAATTATGGAAAACCAGAGGGGTTTCACTTTGCTTTCATTACAGGTCAGATTTTTAATGGGCACTTGGATAAACCTGATCCATTTGGAGTCAGGGAGGTTTGGACAAGCCCCTGAAGGCTCAAGGTCTATCTGGAAGTGTTTCCAAAGTATATGACCCTCCTGAGGTACAGAAGCAAGCTGCCCCTTAGTTTTCCCTCCTGTGGATTTACAGCTCCTGTTGGATCTCCAGCCACCTGCAGAATTTAAAAGCCACTCTCACATATGTGTACATCTCTGGGGTGGCTCTGGCCATCCTGCCTGAGTGCAGTGCCGCTGCAGAAATCCCCAGGAGAGCAGCAGGGGAGGCATCACCGCATGCCAAGCTCCAGGCCCTGGCATCACCACCTTCTTGGGTTTGCAGCCACGGTGGGCACTAGCAGTTCCCATGGGTGTACCAGGGCAGGACATGCTCCAACGTGATTTATTTAAAGCTTTTGTAGCATTGGCTCGCACTGGGTGACATCAGCTTTTGGGTTATCTGGTTGCTTCGCCTTGCACTGAAGGGCAGAGGCTACTGAGAGATATGGTGGATTTTCCATCACCTGATGCTTCCAGACCAAGGCTGGAGGCGTTCCTGGGAGGGATGGCTTAGCCACAGACAGAATGCTGGGCTCGGTAACGGGGTACACATTTTACCTAGCTTGTGTATAGGGAGGTCAAAGTTGGAAGACCTGCTTCTGGCATTGCACCTCCTACTCTATTGGAAATCCAAGTTATTTGTCATTAGGCTGGGTGCTTCTCCTCCTGTGAGTAACATGGACAGAAGTACTCACCGTTGGTGTGGTTTTCAAAGATGAGTTTGTCATTGCACTCCTGCTCGTCCACGCAGCCGCAGATGTAGACGACGGCGTCCTCGCTGGGCTGGTGGGTCATGATGCAGCGCGAGGTGTTGTAGTTGGGGACCATGAGGTTCTCGATGGGGCGGTGGGGGTTGTGGCAGAGTGTGCTGATCCTGATGCTCTCGTTGTCCTGTCTCCTGCACGTGCCAAACAAGCCGACAAAGCGTTAGTCTAGCAGCTCAGCCCCCGTGTCACCTGTGTGCCATCTAAACCTGGTTTTGAGAGCATTCATTATAGGCCGTGTAGGGAGTGACTTGTTAACAGCATTTCTGGTGTCCTTCTAATTGCACATGATTTGAAGGGGCTTTGTTAAAGCTCTTTGTCTCTTCCAAATGGTGAAAAGAGAAATACTTGGCACATGCCAATAGTAGGATGTGAACAAGAGACTCTAATTGTTTCCAGTGGGTAATTCACCAGTTCCTAATTGTGCTTTGGATCAGGTAGTGTCAACCCTCAGGCTGAGTGCTTTGCATAAGATCTGCGGCAAAATTCCTCTTTTAGTAACACCAGGTGCTGGGCCAGTAGATTTTGGAGCTGTATTGTCCTAAGGAAACCTTCCAGAATGAGCATCCCACTTCATATGTCACTTCTGCTGCAATACAAGTCATAACATCTCTCCCTCAGCAGGGGCTGGGGTCTCTGCTGCCCAAATTTCATGTGCAGGGGAGAGGCCGAGGACATGGGGGCTGAGATGCCAGCTTGCCAGTGACCATTTGGCTGGTGCTTCCCTCCTGCTCCTCTCACCTCACGTGTGCAGGTGGAGCTCATAAGCACCATCCAATCCCCTGGGCTTTCCTGGGCTGATTGCCGTGCCCTGTCCTTGCAGGACCACTCGATCCTGCCTCCAGCGGCCAGCAGCAGTAGAGCCCTTCAGTTGCTGGTTGGGGCTGTTTCTAGAAATGCCTTGACCTTTGGAGCTGCCAAATTATGATGTGAAGGCGATATGACTCCCTGACCATGGGGCTGTGTCTGCATTTATACATTGGTTTCAGACACCGAGGAACTACAAAGGAAACCTGATGTGTCACCAGTGATGTCCTAGTCCTCCCCAAGTCTGGGGGAGAGGAGTGCTGGGGCTTGGCACAGCCAGCGATGCGATGGCAAATAGGCCCTAGCTCCTCCTTGATTCCATTTAGACAATTAAGAGGGAGGTAAAAGCATCATTTCTTGAAATTTCTAGGGCATTTGTTCTTTTGTTTCAAAAAGAAAGGACAGACCTCTTTTTAAAAAATTTTCCTGCACTGTGCACGTCTTCAGCTCTGTGTAACACCCCCTGTGTCAGAGATGGTCATAACATCAGCAAGGGAGGACCAAGATGTGCCCACCTGCTGAGAGATGGAAGCCGGGAGGGGTGAAGACTTCCCAAGAGATTTTTCCCTTTCTGGAGTGAAGATGCAGAATATCCCAGTGCCCATGCTGCATTTAAACTGCACGTGAGCATATTCAGCAAGCAAAGTGACAACTGGGGAAATATTTAAAGGCCTATTACCAAAATGTCTCATTCACAGAACTCCAGTGACCCACTGAAACGTGGCTTGTAGCATCAGGTCTAGCTCTGTAGTGCTGATGTGCCTAGAGCTTTTTTAGCCACCGATGCTCAGCAGCCAGGTTAAGTCCTTCTCACATGCCAAGTTTTTTGCTTGGCAGCACCTAGGTTGAGCTCCTGTTGAAGCCACAGAAAAGTGTCAAAATGCAGAGCAAAAGGATGGGGTTTGTTCTGGTTGTCATGTAACTCCTCAGTCATGGGGCGCTTGTTTTGCTGGAAAGCCCCAGCTCTCCCAATGGATTTGGGCAGCACTGGCTCATCAGGAGAGGCTTTGGCTAGAGGGTCTGGCATAGCCATGTAGTGGTGCTGGGAGCTCCCTTCTTTTGGTGCACGGTGGAGTCATCCTTGTTGGACCTATGACTTCATCTCCACCCACTGTTTACCACGCTGCATGAGGGAAGAGGTTTGGAAAGCAAATGGTAGAGGTCTTCAAAAACTAGGGTGCTGAGGTGGATTTAAGAATGGCCAAGCGTGAGCTGGTTATGTCCCTTCGTGGGGCAGATGGTGGCAGCTGAGAGGAGTTGGAGCTTGGAGATGGGATTAGGACGCAGCTGTTGCTGTCAGTGATGGAGCCTCTCGCCCTCGGAGAGCCGGAGCAGAGCTGACATGGGCTGCGGGCTGGCTGCTGGCCAGACGTGGCGGGCAGCTTTGGGGCAGATGGCGCCTGCCCTGCTGGCACCACCAGGGAAACACAGCCTGGGCTGTGGCCCTTCTCCGGCCCGGAGGATCAGCGCTTGCCTTATAGAGCCAGAGACTAATTAAGACTTAATTAAGGACTGAAAGCAGAGCCACCAGGGTTTGACCCTTGTTTCTGGAGCCTTCCCTGGAGGAGGCAGGATAAGCTGGCACTGGTTGTGTTTGCTGGGCAGCCCCGGGGTGAGGATGAGTGGTGGGGAATGACCGGCCTCACAAGGGCTATGGGTGGCTGGCAAGTGTTGCAGCTACTCCTGGGGGTGTTCGAAGGAAGTTACAGCCATTAATTACTTTTCCAAGGACAGCCTCTGCTTCCCAGCCTAGTGGTGCAAAGTGGGAAGGTGAAGGTATGGAGAGGTTTCATGATGCTTAGAACGTCAAATGGAAAGTCAGACATAAAAGCAGGGAAAAAAATCCCAAACCTGTCAACCTCTCCCTGGTGAAGTTCCCTATTTTCAGTGCTCCCCACATTTTCTTGGGGTTCTCACATAATCTTCAGAGGAGCTTCCAGCTGAAAAGTTCTAGGAGGGTGCTATCCCTCCTCCATGGGCTGTCCTTGCTGGGCATGCTGGAGAACATGAGCACATTGCTCATGAGCATGGGGCCAAAGTTGCTACTGTGACTGTGTTACCCACACAGGACAAGTTCAGCTGATCCAAATATGCCTCTGCAGGTGAGCGGTGGGCAGCGAGGCTGGCTGGGAGGTGAGCCCTGCCCGCAGGGACCTTAATCTCAAGATGAGTCTTAGGAGGGGGTTGGAGGTGCTGGGAGGAGGCTGCAGGGCTGGCAGGTTAGTTGTGATGCTACAGCTGCCTCAGCCCCTCTCATCCATGGGGCAAGGTGCAGCCCCATCCTGTACCATGGGGTTGCTTTTCTGGCACGGGGATTTTTGCTGCTGGGGTCCTGTACATGTGGGCTGTCAATGGGAAAATGTAGCAAGATGCTGGATTGCCTACCCAGGATTTGTGGTGGCTTCTCCATGTGCATGTAGGGGAATTTGGGGTAGGGGGTGGATTTTGTTTGTTTATTTGGGTTTCTTGTTGGTTTTGTGTTTGGGTTTTTTTTTAAGTCCATAATGCAACAATTACGTTGAGGCAAACTCCTACTGAAAGCGGGGCGTACGGCATTCACACTAATTAGCAGGTTGAGACAAGCCTAGCGATAAGTGCTTGGCTGGCTTTCATTTTGGCAGCCAAAGAAAAAGGGAAGAGGAGGAAAATCGCTCTGGACAGCCCTAAATGGATATTTTTTAGTTTTGCTCCTGGGGACCAAAAAGCTGGGGGAGGCACTCTTCCGGGCCAAACGATGCAGCATATGCTTGGCCTGAAATGCAAGACTGCAGCTCCCATCCAGGCATCTCCAGCAGAAGCAGAAAAGGGCTTTTCCCAAGGGATGGGAAGGAGCTGGGTTAAACCTCAGTTTGGTACCAGCTCAGACATCCGTGCATGGGACGGGGATTGACCTTGGCTGTACCCCTGCACGTGAAGTGAAGTTTCACCACCCTGATGCAGGAGGACATAATGGGTTTGGGAGTCAGGGCTGCTGGTTTTGCCCTTGGGTTCAGCTTGTAAAGCTAAATTCAGATGTTTATGGGGGCTTAGAGGTCCTGCAGAAAACTTGCCACGCTTCATGTTGGGCACTTAAATGCCTAATTTATTTAGAAAATAGACTAGCATAGGGCAGATCAACTATTTTTTTTTTTACTGCAAACTGTAGTTTTAATTATAATGGGGTCAAAGGCAGAGAAAGTTAGAATTATTTTAGTGGGCGATAAGTGCAGGGGTATGTACATGTGTGTTCCCATGAGCTGCCTCCCAGCAAACCCCTTTTTCCCCCACATCCCCCTTGCCGAGGGGATCGCCGCTTACCATATGGCCACGCAGATCTCGTAGGGGTCCTCGCAGTAGGAGTTGAGGTTGCAGTTGCTGTAGCACACCTTCTCCTCACAGGCTGGTGGCGTGGAGTCGCACCACTTGCACAGGTTGGTCTTCAGGCTGCGGCGAGCGCCGGTGCCGCAGGCTGCAGGGCAGAGGGGTGGGGTCAGCACGGCCCTGCTTGCCCACCGTGGGGAAAAACAGCCACCGTTTTCAGCAGTTCACACAACCAGTGGGAAAGGAGCCTGAACTGACCCTATTTCTCCATGCCTTAGTTCATAGCTTCCATTTCACTTCGTTGCTTGGTCAAATGTGCTTTAGGTTATGCCAAAGCTTAGAGGAGATGTAGAGGTGCTAGGGGTGTGGAGGCAGGTCCCACTGGACAAGAGGTCTGCAGAGCCTAGGAAGCTGCAAAGAACCCCATTTTCCCTCTGTGTCTCCCATACTGTTTATCATCAAGGGGAAGTTTTCTTCCTCTAAGCTCAAATCTACATCTCCCCTTATTCTGAGTGCATGCTGCGTCCAAAAAGGGACACCTTTGGATGTCTGCATGCCTCAAGACTTTATTTATTCTCCTCCTTAGGGAGAGAGAGGTGCTGAGTAGGGATGCACAACCAGGCTGGGACAGCTCCCTCCTCCCCTCCTGCTTCCTCATCCTCCCTCTGACCATTCAATGAGCCCAAGCTGGGGAAATGTTTGCCACCCACTCACCAAGCATCTGTATTTTCAGCAATAAACAATGGGCTGAGACTTCCTGAGCTCTGGGGCAACAGGGGCAGTTCCCTCTGGATCTCCACTGCCTGTTGTGCCCCAGCCTTGCATGAGATGCTCTCCAGGCCCTCGAGCACTGGGTTGAATAAATGCTGCCCACGTGGAACTGCTTTGCATGTATCTCATGGGCATAAAATTATCTCTATTTTTATACAAAGGGTGAACGAACTATGCTTGGTTAAGGGATAAATCCCAGTTAAATTTAAACTTCCTGTTTTAAGACTGCTAAATGTATCTCTCTGTGTGTGCATGTGTGGCTTATGCAGGCATATACATTTATAATTTTTTACTTAAATACACTCCAGAATGTTCAGGTAGGAACTTGAACTACAGCAGCTAATTTTTGGAAGGTTTGGGCCATCCGGTCGTGGCTCACAGTGCTGCAACAGCCATCACAGGGATTCCCAGCACCAGCCTTAGTTCAAACAAGAAACAAATCGCAAGATCCCTGACCATGGCTCGTGAAGCCTCAGCCCCTGTGGGTACAGGAGCACCCCCACAGGCACCCTGGGGGCTGTAGGCAACCTGCAGGACCTCCTGCATTCCTGGTGACCCTCTGCGACCTGCCCATGGCCAACAGTCGAGCCTACGCTCACTTTCCTTTTTAACACATATACTGTCCCAGCAGCAAAAACGGATTTTTAGCTTCTCTGTTTCCCAAATCTGGGGTGTGCAGCTTGCTCTGGCAGCATCTCACGTGCCTGCTACACTTCCCTCGCTGGCCCAGACCCTCCTCCATGCAACAGCCATAAAACAGCTGCTGGAAGGCTCCCGCACAGAAATAAACCTTTTACAAGCTCCCATGGCCTTGTACGTAGGGCCAGGGGAAACCTGGCCACAGAAGAGAAGCCTGTTGCATCTGAAGGCTGGAAGGAGGCAATTTTGCTTTCAATGACCCGTGCGCGGCTTAAGGTGTGGCTCAGCAGGGATTGTGTCGAGGTGGCAGAGGAGCCAGGAGCAGAGCAGGTGGGAATGCTGCCCACAACCTCTTGCTCAGCATCCCTCCATCCATGGGGCAGGATTTTGTGGGTGACCTCATCAGACTCAAGGCTCTATGTCCATCCAAGGGTTAGCTACTGAAATTGCGACTTCAGCTCGGGTTTGGAGCTCTTGCTCCATCAGTGTTACTACATGGGAACAGAGAATTGAAGGTAAGTTGGTTTCTCCCCCCAAAACCCAGGCCGGCCACACCCAGGGCTGGGCTCTGGTTGGGCTCATGCTATGCTTGTAGCGTGCTCACGTGGGGCCGTGGTCTCAGCACCATCATCCCAGCTATACTTGGGGGCCCTGCAGAGAAGACACAAATCTACAGATCCAGGTTGTGGATGTTGCTGATGATGGAACTTATTTATGTATTTATACCTACCAGGTATGTTATTTACTTATTTATATCAAGGGTTATCCTGAGGTCTCAGAGCAAAACTTCAGCCCTGGCAGTTCTGTACTGGCACGTGTGGTGGGGATCTTGACTTAGCAGTTGTTTGCACTGCAGAGCAGAGAAGCCAGGGCAGATGAAAGAGTTAAATATGGAAACAAGATCCAGAAATACAGCAGTAACTGGACAAAATTCTTTGGAGACAAATTGTTCTAAACTAGCTCAGGCTGTGATTCTGTTATCTGCTCTGCAAGAAGGCCAGAGCAGAAATATCTCCTCTTTTTTTTTCCACCTCCTTCTTACCCTAGAAAGCTAAAAAGAAGAGCACAAAGCCCACTGCAAGTTTCTTCAGGACTCTCTGTCCTTGAACCGTTAGCTCGTAGGTACAATTTAACTGCCACATCACTCATCCTGGCCTTGATTAGACCCAGATGAACACTTTCAATATTAATACTTGGATGATTTAATAAAGCTGCACGAGCAGTAAAAGTAACAATACACTTCCATAAAGGGGTTCCAGATGTTGCCAAGGCAAATGCTAAACATCAAAATACAAACTTCAAAAAAAAAAAAAAAAAAAAAGGAAAAAAAAAAAAGCTGGATAAGCAAAACTTGGAACAAACTATAAACTAATTAAATGTGGGTTGAGTCTTCCAAAAATAAATTGAAGCCATAAGGATGTGATGTGGGCCAATAAATAGTACAGTTAGTCAAAGTTGTTGTGGAATGACAGTTGGAAAGCTGGTTTGAAGTCACCAATAGGTGGGCTCCGAGGGAGCTTGGCTGCCTATCAATGGCAAGGCTTGTTCTCTTCTGCACGAGAGTGGGATCAAGTCTTCTGGTGTCTATAACTGCGACCCCAGAGAGGTTACTGAGAGAATACGAGATGGTTTTCAAGTAGAGGCATAAAGGAAAAAGCTATGCCAAAAGTGCCTGAGTCTCTCCTGCAAGAGCAGCAGGGGTGATACCACCACACAAGGACAATGGGTTATTTTTTCATGTGTGTTGGTGCATCCCCCCAGCCTCTCTTATTGCCCGTGGGGCATACACTCTCCCCACTTGGCCACCTGCGAGGCCCATTGAAGTGCCACTGCTGTACTCAACGACCCATCCTCTTCTGCCAGAAAAAAGTCACCTAAAACAGTTCTCCAAGAGAATTTCTTGCCAGTCCCATCAGTGCAGCTGCGGAAGCAGTCAGCTCCCAACAGATGAGCGTTTCTCTCGCTTGCCAGGTGCTCAGCTGCCGAAGGTGACTGCAGCTGTAAGAACCCAGAGGCACAAACAGAGCTCTCATTAGCTCATCTCTGCCAGTGCAGCCCCCAGAGAGCAGGTAGGTCATCCACCACCTAATTTTAGCTCCAGCTTTCTGCATGCTACTGTCCCCGAGGAGGGTGAATTGTTAGAGAGCAAGCCTGGGGTGCATGGAGGTGGAGGTATGTTTCATTTGTTGCAGGTAAAGAGAAAACACTTCCTAGCCAAGCCACGGCATCTCCAGGTGGGGTATTTTTGCTGCAGGCACTTCCATTATAGGACCTTCAGATTATGCTCTTACAGCAGCAAATTGCCTTTAAATTGCTTTTATTTTTCAAGGACAAAGAAAAACTGATAATTTTTAGGTCATAAATGCTCTACAGTGAGGTCTACATCCTCTTTTCTGTGTATCTCTAGGCACTCTGGGATGGAGTTGACAGCAAGTAAGCAGCTGCAGAGGGCTTCCCAGCTTGGCATTATTGCAGCAGCTCCAGGAGCTTCCTGCATCCTCTTTTGCACGCAGGTCAGTCAACCTGCCATCCCCAGTCTTTGCAGTGGGAGAGACTAAGGCCTGGCAGATAAGCTGCTATGCTCTGTGGCTTTCTCTAATCAGCAGCACACTTGATTGCAGGGTTTGGGAGCACCTCTGCCTCAACCCTGTGCAGCCACATTGCTCCTGGAACCCCCCAGGCAGGTGCCCTGATGGCAATGCAGCTGGAGCTGAGACCTGCTTTCCCAGCTGGGCGAGGTGAGCCTGGGCTCAGCGGAGACTCCTTCGTCCGCTGCTGACTTCAGGAGTAGGCTTTGCCTTGGGCCTCCAGCCACGGCTAATGACAGGGCTACACAGCAACACAGCCTCTATAAAATGAGAACAAACAAATTCCTTCCCTATTATATACAGTACTTGATTTTAAAACAACAGCAGGTCTGGTGGGCTCTCTGCTCTCCCATTGACCCCTGTGAGAATTCCAGGACCTTGATGTTGTCCATTGGCAGGCTACTCCTGAGCTGCCTCCACCGTGAAGCAACCAGCAGTGCTGTGGATGGGCCGTGTCATGGTAATTCCCGTGTCCCTGATTTCCAGGAGATCCTATGCAAGGTCAGAAATCCCCATTGCCATTGTCCAGCATGACCTGTGTAACAGAGATCCCAGATTTCCCTCAGTCAGCTCCAGCTTGAGCAAGATCCAATTTGCTGGAAAGCACCTGGTCTTGCTGTGGCATCTAGCAGGGCTGCCAGATCTTCCCAGAACCAGAGCTCAAGGTGTTGTTGCACTTTTATTTCAGATGCAGCTCAGATTCCTCCAGCACAGTCTGTTCTCCAGTGATGGGATCTGGTGCTACTTTCAGCTGCTGAACGAAAGCAGTTCTTAGGCTACTCATCTCCATCCATGTGGTTTACAAACACTGCATCTTCATAGGAGAGGTAGAGCAGAACAAATGGAGATAAAAAAACCATTATTGTATTTTTTACCCCTGCAAGGCTCAAGCCCCCAGCTCACCCAGGAAACCCAGCACAGCTCAGGCTGCTTTTGGTTCAGAGGACCAGGCTCTGCCCTCAGGTATGTGGTCCCACATCATCCTGCATGATAAATACTGTGCTTGGCAGAGTACAGTGTGGAGCAAGGAATAAGCCAGTAATGTTTTCTGGTGAATAAAAAAGGTCTGATTTTGATTGCGTTAGACACCGGCGGTTCCCGGTGCCAGAAGGACATGCAGTATACATTTCTGGTTTGCTTGGACCTTCTT